TACATTAAAAATCAAACTGTTAAAACTTGTTTTGTACTGAACAGATTTTAGTCAAACTTAAAGCATATGAAAGAACTGTGGCTTGACTATCAATGATCAAACTTTCAGCATACAGTCAACTCTCCACGATATCGAGTTATAGCACCATAGTGAAAATGAATTTCATGGTGATTTACTATGCGATTGTTGATCTATAAATCGATGGTCCGTTCAAAATCGATTTGCACAGAATTCACTGTGGTTGGCTCATAAACATCCGAAAAAGTAACAGTTCTTTGAAATTTTTTGCAGAGAAAAAAAAAATCGCGAAGTTTTATACTTATGCCCGGTACTGTACGTGCGACCCACTTTGCGTTACATAAAAAAAAATCGTTATAGGGTAGGTGTTCCAGTGGTGTACCTATAATTGCGGTATCCCGGTTGTGCCGAAATAGTGAGGAGGATCCGGATAAGATTATTTTTCATCGGTAGCTGTCCTAAAATAAAGCATATTTGCATATTTCAAACTTAAAATTAGCCCAAAAATTACGGAAAATCATAAATTTTCCATAAGCCAGCGCCGGTGGTGTAGTGGTAAGCGTGACTGCTTTCTAACACCCCGATGGGTCTGGGTTCAATCCCAGCCGAGGTCGGTGGGATTTTTCTGAGGCATAAAAATCTCTGGTCACGTCTTCCTTCGGAAGGGAAGTAAAGCCGTTGGTCCCGGCCCATGTGTGTTGAATGGGTGCGATATCCTACGCAGGTGTGGAAGCTGCCTTCCTGCACATTCGATTGCCGTCAATGGATGGCAATCGATGTCCGTCGGCGATAGGCACTAGATTGCGGAACAGAGACCGACGTTAAATAAAGGAAAGAAGAAGATTAATTTTCCTTAAGATTTTCACTCCTTTGCACCTATAGTTGCGATAGTGTTCCTATAATAGTGGAACCCATAAGAAACCAACGCATTCCACTATTATAGGAACCAAAGTTAGCAACTACCACAACTACTGGAACAGTGTTCCTATTAATGGAGGATGAGTTTTCAAAAATTGTATGCAATTTTATTACAATGTTATATGTTTCTATCAAACTAGAGGTTGAAAGCTATAGATTGACGTATGACAATTGTGTGTACATCGTATATTTATTTTCATATTAATAAATTGGCTTAGTACCTCCACTACTGGCTCACCCACCCTAACTTCTATTTAAAGTGCAATTTGCGCAAAATTGTCCGTCATATACCAAAAAAACTGAATGAATTGTTATATTTTTTTTCCTTGAATTGTTTTCCGTCGATCTTGTTTTTCGTACTGAGTACCAATGCTACCCACTATAAATGGGACGGGACTTGACAATCGGGTAGCGATTTCGAGCCAATTTGCTGTCAAATCCGAGCCAGTTGCTGATTGGTCGATTTGACAGTAGCAACTGTGGAATAAAAAGGACAGAGGGATCACAACAATCTGGCTGGCAGTGATGCCGGAATCAATGTTGACGGCAATGGCGTTGTTAATTGTTTATATTTGCGAAAGGAAAGTTGGAAAATAGGATCCACGGCGTGCTTCAAGAGATGGATTTTTTTGTTGTTTTTACTGTATTAAGAAAAAATGATGTTCAAGGTGCTAAACTGCGGTAGAAACTCCGAATCAAATTCAAAATAAAATAGAAAAATTATTTTGCAATCCTGGCATCATTGGTCAACTCCGTCAAACACCATGCACTAATTTTCGAAGGGAATTCATCAAAAACATTAAGAAGAGTGAGAAGCTGGATTGTCATGTCCCGTCCCGGTAAATACTCAGAGGGAGAGATGGGCGGAGAAAACAAAATACAATTCGGCAGCAGGGATTTGTACTTAAATTATCTTCTATTCTATTATCTACTACCGACGAAAGGAAGGCAGCACCCACACCTGGCAGCTTCAAGAACTGGATTTCGTTGCAGGTGGTTGGTTGCACACTAATTTCAAATCAGTCTGAGGATTCGTAGTCCAGCTTGCGATTCTTGACGATTTATAGATTCTCAGAATTTAAAGTGAGAGTGTGAGAGGCCCATTACCTCTTGAAATGATCTACTCAGTTTGACGGTTTAACGAATAATGAGGATTATTAATTCTTAAGGTTTTACAACAGGTTGTTATGGCTACTACGTTATTTAATAGTGCTGGCATACTCCTTCACTTAATTGTCTGAGGCTCCAATTGAGGCACTGTATTGAGGTGTCAAATGTTAATTTAATTTGTCAAGAAAACCTCTACACAATGCGATTAATTATTTATTTTTTTGTCTGCATGTTGGCAGCATAAAATAATAGCTTGAACCACCTAACCTTTTCCCTTATCCAACAAAAAAGGCGCATCCTGATCTTAAGTACAACAATTAAAACGCTGTTATTCATACTTTGATCAGTCCCTCCCAACTGAACATTCTTTAGCATGGTGTCACACAGCAGACACCGCATCATCAAAAAAAAATGAGAAAGTATCTTTTTCATTCTTCATAGCAGCCTTCCACCGTCCGTGATTATCCCTTTTTCTCAGGACCTCGTCTCGCCACGCCGTGCAACACCAACTTCCATCAAGATATTCCATATTTAGTATTTAGGTGGGTGGACAAAAAAGTGAGACCGGACAACGAGAGATAATTGGTAACGGTCGGTTGTTCCAAGTATGCTATGATGAAGAAACATCGAAAACCATGGCAACAACGTGTGAAAATTCCCTTGAGTCTCACACCCCTGCAGCGCATCAAAACACTTTTCACTTTACAGAGTGATGGCGACTCTCACTCGACTGAATGGGCCGTGTTGGTGGCTGGTCTTTTGCGGGTCCATGGAACCATTTCCCAAATGGGCAGAGATTTGTCTTCCTCTCGTCGTCACCGTCGTCGTGTCAACTCTGGCACATTGTACCAGGAACAGCATAAAATACCTACGGCAAAACAAACCTCGGTTCGGTTGAACCCAGTCAGTTGAGGGGGAGGAAAAACGATGAAGCTCGCTGATGCCTCTCAAATCGCAGCAAACCTGGGTTGTGACAAGCTTGGTGCCCAAAAAATAAAAACAAGCGAAAAAAGGGGTTGAATTAAATTGTATACATTTCATCCCCATCAGTGAAATTACCAACATAAATTAATTATGCTTGTTCTACCCGTGGTCTCGTCGTACGCAAGAATGCCTCTTTTTGTCCGGAGGCTCTCGAATGGACGGGTGTCTTTTTTTCCCTTCCTCCCTATTCTCTTCGGACGATCCGGTGCTGTCGGTGAGATTTTACCGATCTTGACGTTCCGGTGTGTATTGTTCGTATGAGTTATTTTGCACAAGACTTCTGGCAGTAGATCCGGTCGACCGTGTCGTCGATGAGGGAATGTCAAATGGGGTTGAAAGGGGGAGGTGAAATAATGCGATGAAAATTAAAACAAACCGGAAACTGTTTATTTATTCATGGTGATGTCAAAAGTGATCATTTTTATTGGGTTTTGTATGCCGAAAGGATGGTGTGTTTTTTCTTCTGCCGGACGAGAACGCACGGATGATTTCGAAGAAAGAGTCCTGTCATGAAGAGGCTTGTACGGGTTGGATTTCAATTGTAAACCGCAGATTGCGAACAGGTTGACACATGAAGCCCGGGAATGAGTATCAAGTATTCATCCTTTGTTTAACGTTTTCTGATTCCATGGTGAAAAGTTTGGAAATTGTTAACATGTCCTACCCAATCATCTCATTTCTCCTGCATTCCGTGGGGTAGCAGCATACGCATTGTTTATTGATTCGATTGCACGCTCGGATACCGGCAACAAATTCCTGGTTAAATTCTCCAATTTCCGGTACGTTCAGTTTTTCGATTTATATTCATTTGGTACTTTACACTCTGCTATTAACTGTGCAAGAGCAGTGAGGTAAAATTGGCTCCCATTTTCGTCGATACAGTTGTCGTATGATTAAGGTAAATTTAACTATAAATCAAAATGTATGCATTTCCCATTCGTAGATAATTGTTTCATATTATATTGTTTTAATGTTATATTTTATTACATAAGATACACATTCAAATTCCATTACCGCGTAAGCCACACATGCCTTTAAAAGTGTAAAAGTGACTACACATAAAATAATGGAAAATTCCTGTCATGAGATGAAAACTGACATATACCATAAAATAACAAAGTATGGTAGCAAACTAACCATTTTAAATAGAGGAAATGGCTCTAATGTTGGCATATGGATCTAAGATTGGGCCCATTGATAAAAATCTGCAATTTATCAATTTTATCTAGCTAAACGCGACATTGGCACGGTACTAATGGATATTTTTGGTCGCTATTGAAAATTTAGTCGATTGCTGAATTTATGTATTGGCCCAAATTAGGGGCATTTAGGCCGACATTACCCATTTCCCCAATATGGGAAGTTAATTTCCCTCCAAAATTTTTTTTCATACGATCAAGTTTCAAGTAAAGCCGCGGGAACTCACCCAAGTTAACCGGAAAGGCATTTAATTTACCATGAATGTTACACCCCGGAATTCAAAGCTTTAGCTTTTTAGGCCGGAGGCCTAATAATTAGTAACGTGTACAACTACATCACTATTCAGCTCTTTAAATTCACACTCCACATCTGGCCAAGTCATTGAACCGACCGACCAACGTCAAGATCAGGGCAATTGTCTTCGCGTCCAATGCGACTCGGTGCTGTGGCGGCGGGCATCGATTTTCCATGGCACCCGTGTGGAAGGTCGCCGCCGACACCACAAGCTGAGCTGGGGTTAGATAATTTGACTGCTCTCTTCTGACCACGAACGTAAGTTCTTGAAGGTGCTAAAGTGACAAATTTTCCCGCGACACCAGTCAATGCAAATGCAAATCATTCAAGCGTAGCTCAAGAGACCGCTGCTCGATCAGGCGTTGAATCGTAAACATAATCGCTATTCGGTATAAAACAATCTGCCAGTGTACCACTGGATGTTAGTTGCTTGAGAAATCCCGTCGCGTAACCAGCTGTAATAGATATACATAATCATGGATTGGAAGTTATTGTTGGTATTGGGTTGTGCATTTGCTGCATCCAGTAGTAGCGAGAGACCACGTGCCAGCTCGTACATCTTCCGCAGTTTCGATACCTCCCCGGGTCACATGGTGTACCTGAGCCCCTCGTTGGTGCGTTCAAAACTGGTAATCCCGACGGTGGACAGCCAAGAAGCAATCAAGGTGAAAACTAATGTGGAATTTGATGAAGACAGCGAAGAAGCTCCTAAGATAGAGGATAGTGAGGAAGATGAATCGAAAGTGCTGCCTTTAAAGGAGTCGAAACATTCCAAGGAGTCTGATGAATCCTACGAAGAGGAACACAGTTCTAAGAAAGGTGAAAAGGGTAGGAAAGGGCACAAATCGAGCCATGGGTTGAAGAAGGGCAGCAAAGGTAGCTACGGTAAGGAAGATCATTCCACTTCCTATGCCAACGAAGGGGATCGCAAAAAATCCCACCACGATGAAGATGGCTATCAGAAGAAGCATCGTGACGAACAACACAGCACCCGTGGAGGCAAGCACGGTGAGAAGAAGTTTCACAAAAAAGGGTCGAAGACTACAGGCTATCACAATGTGTACCATAAGGACGAGTTCAAGAAGGAGCATATTTTTTACGATACCTCGGATCACAGTGGAAATTTCAAGAAATACGGATCATCGCACAAGGAACATTCCAACGACGAGGAAGAGTTTGCCAAGGGAGGTCACAAAGAGGAAGGGCACTCTAGAAAGAAGACCTCCAAGAAGGGACACTCGGATGACGGAAAGTACGATAGTAAGCATAGTGAGTTTAAAAAGCAACGGGGAGATACCCAAGACTACCGGGATAAGGAAGAATATCAGAATAAAAATGGAAAATTGGATTCGATTATGCATGGATATAAAATTTACCATCGTTGAATGATTAACTGGTGGAGCAATTTTAAATAAGTTTAATTTATGCTAACATTTAAGATTGTGTGTCTGAAGCATTTGTCAGTATTGAGCTATGAAATAAATAAGATGTTCAAGCGAAAGATTACGCTCTTCAAAAACTTGAAAATTCTTCGAAATAACATACTATCCATTATGGAGGATTTCAGTTTGCATATATCACATTAATTAGTTTGTTTTGACTACTAACTACTGCCGAAAAAAGTACCATGTCTTAGGGTGTTGGGTGTTTTTTTTTTCTTTTTGGAACTGATTGGAAATTGTTTGAATAATTTTAAAATCTTCAAAGTTTATTATTACTAGATAGAACTAGAATTAGGGCGTAACAGCCTTTGTAAACAATTAATTCTCTCGTTGATTTCTAGGAATTCAAGGCACGCCAACACAAACCAACATATCCATTGGGTAGGAGAAGTCTTCCTCTACTCGATGGTGATGTCGATTTGCTAGGGAGAGGCATGACTTTGCTAGGAGAGGCATGAGAGAAGTCTTGATTACAAAAGCTGATACGCCCTAATTCCAGCTCTATCTAGTTTTGATACAAAACATCAAGTTTAGCCAGCGAACCAATGTGAGTTTCTTAAGATTCTTGTTTTGAAGTTAACCAGTTATTGATTAATCCCCCGAAGAGCGCGTTTAAATAGGGACCACGATACTGCAAACCATGTTAATGTTCGAACACACATTTTCAGCTTTGTAAGCTTACTTTTTGCAACTGCATAAAAGCTTTAAAATCAGATACAGGCAAATGCTAACAAAGTAGTATGAATAGTGCCTACTCAGCATTTATACATATATTATTCAGCTTGTCAGTCAATTTGAATAGCAGAAGATAATAAACGCTTACATCTCTTCTATATACATGTTTATAAATTTACAACTTATATTTAGCTGCAATACGAAGCTGATAAAGAGAGTTTTTAATCGTTTCATGGCTGCTACAGAACCAATAATTCATGCTGTACTGAATAGCCTGTACTCAGATAATAAGCTGTATAGTAAGGTGGGGCGAAAGTTCAACCTTAGTTGAAAAAATGAAAATATTTCAAAACCCCAAGCAATTAGAATTAAACTAATTTCATACACACTTAGAAATGATTACGGACTTCGGTACATTTTACCGAAATTTCAACAGCTGAACGTTCGGTAAAACTATGACCCCCATTTCAAAAGCTGTTTCACTAAATTTTAATTTCAACACATTGTCAGCTTTGTTTCAAAATAATCGAGTCTTGCCATTATGGTGAAGTTTTCCTTGTTTTGAAGTCTTGAAACTAATGCATCCACTTTGTTGTGATATTAAAATTATTTTTTGCTGTGTTACGTGTTACGCTGACGTTACGCAAGGAATTAAAATAAATAATGGTTTTGAAAAAGATGTGTAAACGCTCTCCAATACATTTTTTTTTAGCTTCTAGCTGTATTTGCAGCATTTTTTCAGGTACTACCCGATCAGAAGGGCATATCAAAATTATAACAGAATTATATCAATGGTTGATATTAATATCAACGTGTTTTATATTTTGATATGTTAGTGAAAAGTGGTTTGTTCGAAGTTTCTCATGATATCAGAATTATAACAAAGTCAGTTATAATTACTATCAATACATAAAATATGCATTAATGATTCCAAAATATAAGTTTATTCACTATTTTCTGTTACTAAGTGAAGATCATTAGAGGGATCTGTGTATAAATAGTAATGTATAGATAAGTTTTTCGAATGATTGTCAGAGATTGCTTAAATCACAAAGGGCTTGTACTACGAATTTCTTCAGTAATAACCAGTGTCTCGTATTCAGCTATCTCTTTGGAGTATTTTAAAAAAGATTATCTGATCTCCTGCTCTATATGGGAAAAGTAACAAAAAGTCCGTTTTCCACAGGGCATAGAGGTTGAGGTTGTGGAGCAGCTTCATATCTTAAAATAAAATAGGTTGTTAGTGTGCTGTCATTATTGAACAAGAAGACGACATACCCATAATGACAATTCACACAAAAATAGATCCTTTCAGAGCTGGGAAACCTTTAGTAAAAGTGGTAATATTTTCGGGAAAAGTTTTGCCTATGGCGAAAACATTCAACATTTTCATAAAGTCTTCCAAACTTCCTTGGGTAAGCTTGTGCCTTAAGTAAAAATTCAGGGCCATAAACATTATGTCTTTGACACGAATGTTGTCATGAAATTTTGCCGATTGATCGTAACTCGAAGGCTCCAGGAAAAAGATAGGATGTTCTCAGTCTTGTCTACCTTGAATAAATAAGATAAGAAATACCGATCCGGAACATCGTTTATCGCATCTTTCAAAGAATTCTGCTTGTATAAAATTTTCCGATTTTTCTGATTCGTCATCGGAAAACTCTACCGACCGCGATCCGAAATAGATTGGCTGCCTACTGCTTCTGAACCAGATGATGAATGAAATTCCATCACCAGTGGAATCTCATGATTTAATGGAAGATCTTCTAACAATCCATGTGGAATACCACGAACTACGGCAACCAAGCATCGGGCTCACCTGCCACAAAACACAATTAAACGCGTTTCACTTGGACCGGAAAAAGTGAAATATGAGCGGGGTAACCTTAATTTTTCATTCATTCACTCAGAATTACTAAAACAACAAATTTTTCTCTCAGATCGGTTTTTGGAACTCCGCATTTATCGGGGAGACAAACTAGCTGCTCCAAATTCTTTGGTTGATGAAGCACCATACATTATGAAGCGAATTCTGGCATATTATGGAAAAAGAAGCCAGGAAAATGACTCTTAATCAATTAAAATGACTTACAGTTGATGAATTCCAATTAATTATTTGATTTAAATTCAAAAAAAGTGAAAAAGAAATAACAAAACCATTGACAGAAATATGGCAAATTTTATATCTAATTTATAACACCGGTTGTTATTGATGTGTATTTTTAATGCGATAGATTATATCTAATTAAGTAATAATGTTGATATAATCATATCGACGTCTGTTATAATTTTGTTACCACTAGACGATTTTTTTTATGATTTTTGTTATTTTAACAACCAACCAGCCAATGTTTATAACACGTTCTGTTACATATTTTTTTGTTAAATAAATAACTCCAGTTGTTATAATTTTGTTATGCATTTCTGATCGGGTATGCAGTACAACGCTGAAAAGTTTGCTTATAAAGCTGTTATTAAATCCTTCCGGATGGTAATCAAATTAGTGCAGAACTATCTTACGACGGTGCGAAAGTGTGCAAGTGGATATTCTATATATTCTATATGTTAATATCCTGATCATTTTTTTTTCTCTTAATAAAGTTTAAAAAAAAATCTAAGAAGTTGCCGTCTTTGGTAAAATTGTTCAGGTTGAGGCACACAATCAACTCACTAGGTGACTAGTGGATACAATTCCAGATTGTGTGATATCCCGAGACCTTGGTCATCTACACGAATCGAAAATTAACTATTTTATTCATGTGTTTTATTTATAAACGTTGGTCAAAACATCAGCCTTATATATTAGAGTGGGTCATCGTTATATGGAAAAACGCAAACTTTACCTCATCAATCGAGAACAACCCTTTCTTGGTTCCATTTGGAGTCCCAAACAAATGTGCTAAATTTGGGGATGCTTGGTTGTAACTCGGCTTTCCGCATTGCGTTTGAAATTTGTAAGGAAATTAGTATGGGAAAACCAACTTTTTTTGTATTTTTATCCCTTTATCACGATTCAGCATGAACAGTACAACTAAGTATGTACAAATATAGTCGAGGAAGTGCCTAACAACTTTGTCAACAGAAGTACGGTGCTAGAATGTATCTAAAAAAAAGTTATAAAAATTCAAATATTTATGGTTTGAATTAAACACAAAAAATCCCTTTTTCTGCCAACACTGCCGGTGTACCAATGGGAGTCAGATTCCAAACTGAAATAATTTCGGTTTGGTATGTTCAGATAAATTATTCAAAAACAATAGCTCTATCTTATATGTGTAGTCTGAGGTGGTGGGGGGTAATAATATACTCCGCCCCCTCACTCATATCAATAGTTTCAAACTGAAATAACTTCGGAGTTTCTTATCTTATCGATTTGGTATGTTCAGGTTGAATTATTCAAAAACATTTGCTCAATCTCATAAACGGGAGCGGGGGGGCTTACTATATGCAGTTTTTCAAACAAAAATTGTTGTTTATTTATTTTCATCAACCGATGTAGACTAGTACAAATTTGTTTTTCTTAAGAATATATAAAAAAATTGTCTTCTATTCTATTTTTACTTCTTAGGAGTTATGATTCCGTATGGAGTTAAAATATTGTTTTAGTTTATGCCGAGACATTGAAAAGTCAATGGTTTCACAGTTGATTGTAAGACGCCATCACATTGTAGTATAATTATTTAATATCCACTTGTCCGTTAATTTGTTAGTGAGGAGATGTTGTTTAAATTATTAGCAGTTGGAAAATTTTAAATTTCTATATAAAGCTTTTATTTGAAATATTAAACTGCCATTAGGGCCACCCGCATATAAAAAAACACAGAAGTAGTCGTACCGTAAAACGGGGTATCTTTGATAATGCGGGTAACTTTGATAGTATAATGTAAAGATTAAATTTAAATTAATTTAAATTTTAAATTAGAAACATTGGTTCCATATTGTAGCTTAGGGTATTTCCGTTGATATTGTACATATTTTTTATATAGTTTGTGTTACATATTTAACAAACATATTAAAAAACAATTTTTGTGTTTTTCGCCTGTTTGAAAAAGCACTCAAACCATCACTTATGAAATGTATTTCCGATATGGCCATCACAAATTCAATGTAGTATTCTTATTGCTTATAAAGTCTTCTGATTATATACTATTCAAAGTTTCATATTCAAAGAACTAAATTGTTTGAGTTCAACCATATTTTTCTACATTCATCGAGCATAATCAAAGTAACCCCAAATAAAAAAACTGAAGTTCGGTCACAAAACTAAAAAAATAGTACAAATGCTTTTATTTCCTTTGAACA